ATGCATGGAGGGGATTGTAATCATGGCAATGAAACAATATACGAGAGGATGAATGTAAAGCTGATGCTCTCCCATGTAAACTACCACTCAAGTCACAAGAAAAACGTAAAATAAGGAAATAAAAAATGGCGACATTTCCCTAAGGACGAAGTTGAGAAGGGATGGGAAGGTGAGGGGAAAGGAAGCTCAGGGAGGAAGTGGGAAAACTGTTTTTGCGCGGAGGGGATTTCATTGAGATGAAACAAAGTGTATGATTTGTTGAATGCAAAACTGATGATCTTGTCTGTAAATTTTCACTTAATTAGAAAAAAAAAGAGAGAGAGAGAGAGAGAGATGAATGGATAAGCAAAATGTGGTCCATACATACAATGAAATATTCCTAAGCCATAATGAGCAATGAAGTTCTGATATCTGCTACACCACGAATGAACCTTGAAAACATCATGCTGAATTAGTCACATAAACAAGGACAAATATTGTATCATTCTATGTATATGAACTATTAAAAACAGGAAAGCATAGAGTTTATTAGTATTGAACACAGATATGTAGGTGAGTAGGAAGAGGGGAACTCATTGCTTACGGATACAGAATTTCCCTTAAGGGTTGTGGAGACAGTTGCCACTGAACAATGTCAAGGCTTTGTACATTTCAGGATTACTGAAATGACAAATGTTTTGTTACATATATATTTACCACAATAATAAAAAAATAGTGAGAAACTATTGTGTTGGCTATATCTAATATACTTTGATTGTAATAAATACCACCAGCTAATTAGTAAATAAAGATTAATAACAACCTTATACCAAGCCTATTAAAAAATGGAATGACTTTTCCTTCCGACGCACGTTTTCAAGGATATTAGCTGTGCACACATTTAACATTAGTGGAGAGGACAGAAGAAGCTGAGCCATGGGGTCGCAATGGGAACTGAGGGCCTCCAAGTTTCTCAGGAACAGCCTGAAAGTGACCCAGTTCTTTCTGCACACTTTTCCTATGCACATTAGACACTCTGTGCTGTTGACATTGTTGTTAAGTGCTGTTGAGTGAACTCCAATTCATAGCAACTCTGTACAGGGTTTCCGAAGAGCAGCTGGTGAGTCTGAACCTCCGACCTTGTGGTTCATAGTCCAGTACTTATCCTACAGTGTCACACTAGGAGTCACTCTGTAGAGTATAATATCGCCTTTGTTTCCAAGTACTCCTGGCTGCTCCAGCTCTCAAGTTGTTGTTAAGTGCCATCAAGTTGTTTCTGACTCATGGTCTCCCTGTATAGGGTTTCTGAGGTGCAGCTGGTGGGTTTGAACCTCCAGTCTTGCAGTCAGCCATCTAGTGCTTATCCTACAGTGTCACACGAGGACTCCATGAATCATTTGAACTATTTCTCTCCAGGTTGGATGAAGAGACACAAGTATCTTTAGCACAAATTGGAGTTCTGTGGCCAAGGTGGTAGAAATGGTTTCCAATTGGCTGCTAACCCAAAGGTTGCTGGTTTGAGCCTATTCAGCAACTTCAAGGATGAAAGGCCTGGTTTATGCCACTCCTTGAAACTCCTATATAGGGTCACTATGAGTTGGAACTGACTCAATGGCACTTAACAACATCTGCTTCCATTAAGATTACAGCCAAGCAAACCTTATAGAGCAATTCTTCTGTATAACATATGGAGTCATCAGAAGCAGCCAGCAACAAAGAGATGGCTTAGTGGAACATCCCAGCTAAAACAAACAAAAACCTTTTCCATTCCCTATGAGGCCTGGTGTGACGCTGTAAGATAAGCACTGGATTACAAGGTTGGTTTGAACCTCAAGGTCAGTGATTCAAATCATCAGCTGTTCCTTGGAAACCTAATACAAGGACGCTCTGTGTCAGAATTGACTTGGCAGTACTTTAACAATAATATGAGGTAGGGTACAAGTTGTTCTTTTGGTATATTTTTAAGGCAGTGGTTGAGAGGGAGAGGTGGTGAACATTCTCTACTTTGACTACTGAAGTGTAAGTATTAATTTGTATTTTATTATGAAAAACTACATGATACTAAAATTTCCCCACGCCCATGGATTTGCCCACGCCCATATCTATATGTAATTTACATCTTTCAGATTGAAATGAGCGTATTTCCATATAGACTATTCTAGTTATTGTGTGTGACCCTGTATAGTGTTAACAAGGAGTGGCTGGTGGGTTTGAACTGCCAACTTTGCAGTTAGCCGTCCATTCCTTATCCTATAGTGTCATGCTGAATTCCAGCTAAAGGACAGGTTCATTTACGAGTTGTAAAATAATGTGCTGAAAGTAATAGAGAAACATGCTTCCACCGGTGAATCCAACTTGATTGATAACACAGTATTATATGACTCTCTTGCTACAAGCCCTTGTGAAATGATTCACACTTTTTTCCTTAACTGAAAGGTCAACATTTTTCATAAAAGAGTAAATCTTCAGTTGGTACAAAGGATTTTTTTTTTTTAA